GGCATTGATCTAAAAGCCTCTCACCTCATGAGCATGTCAACTGACCTCTCTTTGAGAAAGCGAGTGAAGAGAAAAAGAAGCAAACTGTATCAGGATCATACTGCATCCTGTATGCACAGTACGGCCTCTGTATCTATTGTGAATAATAATAATAATAATAATAATAATAATAATAATAATAATAATAATATACAGTATTCTTCTCTCCTAAAGTGACTCAAAACAGTGAACAATTGGAAAAACTGTACAATACACAATTTAAAACCTACAAGAAGAGGCAGGTAAAAAAATACTACTACTATTATTAATATTATTATAAAAGATTATAAACATTAAAATAGAATTAAATGCACTATTATTGAATAATTAAATGAATAATTAAATGAATAATTAAATGAATAATTAAAAGCATTAAAACTAATTTAAAATATTCAATTACTCCCACCCCCGATACTTGAAACTGTGATAATAGCAAACCTCTATTTTACTCTACTTGAGCTGGAAGCATATCCCAAAATGCTGGAGAGACTCACAAACATTTTGGGGGGGGGGGGTTGGAAGGGGGGATAAATGAAACCATGGATAGCAAATCTGCAGATGAGGGGGTCATATTATAATGCATTACTGGAATGGTGAAGAAGAGTGCAGTATCCCAGTGCAATTGGCAGAACACATTTGGCAGAACATCAGTTAGCATACAATCCTATTTACATTTACCTGGGAATAAGTCCCACATCATGGAACTTACCTCTGAGTAAACATACACAGTATTGTGTGATGAGTCTGGGAGTGCAGAATATGATCCAAGGGTAAGGGCAGATAGAGAAGATTTGGAAATAAGGAAAAACGTAATTGATCATATGTTCAGAAGTGAGTGTTAGTAAATATTAATGTGCCCTAAACACCAGATCCTGTACAAGAAAAAAAGGCTATAAAAAGCTGGATTGGCCAACTATACCTGATGGAGGAAATGTAGGGTCATTTTTTAATTTAGATTGTCAAATTCCTATAAAACCAACGTAGAGATTTTTTTTAAGGCCTGTGTTACCGGAAGACTGAAAAAAGTGATTTACAACACACTTCTCTCTGCTTCTTCCATGAGTTAAAAGTAAGGTATCTATCTACTTGTTCTTCCAGTGAAGGCCATAGAAGAGTCATTACCTGCCATCAGTTTCTTGTGACCTACTGAATCCTGAAAGGTACCAGATCCTGTCAGAGCTTGGAAGCTAAGCAGGGCCAGCTCTGGTTTGGATGGGAGACCACCAAGCAAGTGTTTCAATGGAAGAAACTGGCAAAACCAACTCTGGGCATTCCTTGTTTAAGAAAACCCTGTGAGATTCATGGGAGTGGTCATAAGTTCACAGATGTCTTGAAGACACACATATGTTCAGTGGTACTAGTACAAAACTCACATAGGTCCTTGCATTTTGACACCTTGTTAAAGAAGAAACACTTAGCCTGCAAAGGACAAGTGGCACTAATTTGCAGTATTAAATAGAGTTTCAAAACATAGCAGAACTGAAAGTAAGATGACTCAAAAGGTACCGCACTACTGAAAACTACAGGATTGAATAGATAGCAAAGAACCTCTCTGAAGTTTTCTCAAAATTCTTAAAATACAGATTATATGGAGGCAGGCAGGAGAGAGAGCATGAGAGCTGGAAGTTTGCTTCTTTACACCTGTGACACTGGCATATAGACACATTTTAGGATTCACAGATACCTCAACTCTACTTCAAGTGGCCCTATCTACACTGCTATATAATGCAGTTTCAGAAATGCAGATTAACTGCATTGAACTGACCTTTCTCTGCCAGCAGTCATCTGAAGATGGATAAGGGGCATGCTGCTGGGGAGTTTGAGGGTGGGAATTTTTGGAGGGAGGGGAGGGTTTTAAAAATGCATTTTAATTTCATTTATTATATCTTAACTATATTTCATTTATTATATCTTAAGTTTAACCTATATTTATTATATCTTAACTTTAACCTATCACACAGAGTACTATTTATTTTATTTTATTAATTTTTGTAATACATGGCAATGAGTTGTTGCCTTTGTAAGGCCGCCCTGAGTCCCCTTCGGGGTGAGAAGCGTGGGATATAAATGTGGTGAATAAATAAATAATTTCCCTTTGTTTTAAAGTGTGTGGTCCTTAGCCACTGGGGAGAAAGGTGAGGTATAACTAAATGAAACCTCTAGTGTGATGAGGTTCAGCCTCTTCACACTAGAGCATGGATCCACTTTAAATTCGGTTTCTGCCACTTGCAGAATTCTGGGCTTTGTAGTTTAGTGAGGCTCAGGACTTGTCTGGCTGAGCAGTTTAAAGACCCCTCCCAGAATTCAGCAGGAGGCAGAAACTGGATTTAACATGCTCTAGCTAGTGCATGCATGGGTGAACTAAGGCCTAGAGGCCCTCCTCATTTACCCTGTCTTCTTGCAGAAGGACACAGTAGACCACTGTGTCCTTATGGCAAAAAGATGGGGAAGGAAGGCACATATTTATTTATTTATTTATTTACGACATTTATATGCCGCCCTTCTCACCCCGAAGGGGACTCAGAGCGGCTTACAAGGTATATATACATACAATATATTATTAACATAGTACAATATCAGTTTTAAATAATGCTAAACATAGCAGCTGAGAGCCCTCTGTAGTGCTCTTAGCCACCGTGTGTCTCACCCTCTTCCTGGCATAAGGACTGTGTGAGCAGTCCCATTCTTATGCTAGGAGGATGACTTGAGGAAGGTACGTGGTGGCTGAGAGCCCTTCAAAGCACTCTCGGCTGCTCTTGTCCTCCTCCCGGCATGATGCCAAGAGAACAACCCGAGGATTGGGGGAGGGGGGAAGATTGGGGGAGGGGGGAGGATTGGGGCAGTTGTCATATGTCCCATCTTGCTCTGTCATAGAGACGCGGCTGGCAATCCCATTCTTATGCTGGGAGGAAAACCTGAGAGTGCTCTGGGCCTTGCCCTGCCCCCTCCTTTCCCATACCTGCATCCTCCCCACCCAGCATGTGCTGGTTCCCTCTCTCCTGGCCCAGCCCTCCAGTGGCCAGGTGCCAAAGCAAAAAAGTTTGGGTTGTTGTAGGTCTTTTGGGCTGTATGGCCATGTTCTAGAAGCATTCTCTCCTGACGTTTGGCCTGCAACTGTGGCAAGCATCCTCAGAGATTGTGAGGTTTGCCCATGCCTGCTGTAGTGAGATGAGGCCCTAATTAGATGAGTTTACACTGCCGTATTGACTATTCTAAAGCCTCTGACTGTGTGGATCACAATAAATTGTGGCAAGGTCTTGATGGTATGAGTATGCAAAATCACCTTGTCTCTCTCCTGAGAAATCTGTACAAGGACCAAGTAGCAACAGTAAGAGCTCACCATGGAACAACAGACTGGTTCAAGATTGGGAAAGGTGTACAGCAGGGTTGTATACTCTCACCCAACCTATTCAACTTGTATGCAGAAAACATCATGCGATGTGCAGGGCTTGAGGAATGCAAGGCTGGGATGAAAATTGCTGGAAGAAACATTAACAACCTTAGATATGCAGATGACACCACTCTGATGGCCGAAAGTGAGGAGGAGCTGGAGAGCCTTCTAATCAAGGTGAAAGAAGAAAGCGCAAAAGCTGAGTTGCAGTTAAACATTTTAAAAAAAAACCAAGATTACGGCAACAAGAATGATTGACAACTGGGAAATAGAGGGAGAAAACGTGGCCATGACAGACTTTGTATTTCTAGATGCAAAGATTACTGCAGACGCAAACTGCCACCAGGAAATCAGGAGACGTTTACTTCTTGGGAGGAGAGCAATGTCCAATCTTGATAAAATAGTGAAGAGTAGAGACATCACACTGGCAACAAAGATCCGCATAGTTAAAGCAATGGTATTCCCCATAGTAACCTATGGATGTGAGAGCTGGACCATAGGGAGGGCTGAGCGAAGGAAGATAGATGCTTTTGAACTGTGGTGTTGAAGGAAAGTTCTGAGAGTGCCTTGGACTGCAAGAAGATCCAACCAGTCCAAACTTCAGGAAATAAAGCCCGACTGCTCATTGGAGGGAAGGATACTAGAGACAAATTTGAAGTACTTTGGTCACATCATGAGAAGAAAGGGAAGCTTAGAGAAGACAATGATGCTGGGGGAAAAGGAAGGAAAAAGGAAGAGGGGCCGACCAAGGGCAAGACTGTATCTTATCTGTTAGTCTGTTGCAAAAATGGCTTCAGAGCGAATGGGAAACTTGCGGGTTCTAACTAGCCAACAGCTAGCTGGTTTTGTCCGGATATACTGTTATCCTTGAATAGTAACTTCTTCTTTGGAGCACTGATTTCTCAAACAACCAGCATTTTCTGTAAACATAGGCCTACTGCAGAAATAGGCCAATATGGCAGTAAATCATGACATATGGGCATAGGGAAGATCTCTGAATATTCCCTCTTTAAAACCACGTCCCCTCCATTTGAAGTGACTGGATTGACCTTGAAGGAGCTGGGGGTGGTGATGGCCGACAGGGAGCTCTAGCATGGGCTAGTCCAAGAGTCGGAACGACTGAACGAATGAACAACACACTGCCATATAACCCAGCCCAATGCAGTTCATCTGCACTCTTGAGCACTGGTGGATTGAGGACAAATGGGGGCCTGGGCTAGTTATGAGGCCCCTTCTTTGGACTCTGAAGGACACTCTCATAGACTATCAAGTCTATCATTCTGTCTGGAATTCCTCCCAATTAGAAGGCCCTCAAATGTAGAATGGCATCACATATGCAAAATGTATTGTAATTTATTTTGTTTTGGCAGGAAGATGGGCCTCTTGCCCTGGCCAACTTGGGCCCTCCCTTCTGGTGTTTTGGACTTCAACTCCCATTATTCCTAACAGCCTCAGGCCCTTTCCTCCTCCCCCCCCCCCCCCCCCCCCCAGCCGCTTAAGCGGCTGAGGGGGGAAAGGAAGGGGCCTGAGGCTGTTAGGAATAATGGGAGTTGAAGTCCAAAACACCAGAAGGGAGGGCCCAAGTTGGCCCAGGCCTGTTTCAAAAGTAACACGTTCCCCAGCCTTGAGACAAGGCGGGTGTCGAAGTGAGCGGCTGAGGCCCTGAAAGCCAGGTGCTCTTCGCGCCTGTCCTTGAGCGTGAGGCGAGCGGGGGAAAGGCGGCCTGCTTCGTCTCCGGCTTCTCGGCAGAGGAGACCAGGCCCAAGCAGGCCGCCTCGCCTGGGCCGGGCAGGCCTGTCAGCCCGAGGCCGGAGTAGGCCGAGCCGAGCGGAGGGAAAGAAGGAGGGAGTGCGGGAGAGGGGAGGCGGCGCCCTGAGAGGAGGCAGCGGCGGTGTCAAGTACGAAGCGCAGCGCTACGTGCCGAGTGACGCGGCCCGCCTGCCACGACTCGGGAGGAGAGCTGCGCGGAGGCCCCGCCGCCTGGGCCTGCTCGGCAGCCGGGGTAAGCGAGCCAGCGAGCGAGCGAGCGGCTACGGCCTGCCCTCCTCCCACACCACACGCGAGTCAGGGCCCGTGACACAGTCCCAGGACACGCGTGTTCGGGCTGCGCTGTCAGACTGCAGTCTGCGTAATGCAATTCAAACTGCGTTATATGACAGTGGGAGAAACTCAGGCCCTTCCACACAGCCATATTATATAACCCAGAATATCGAGGCAGATAATCCCCAATGTCTGCTTTGAACTGGGTTATCTGAGTCCACACTGCCATATAATCCAGTTCAATGAGGCTATGTGGAAGGGGGCTCACTTTCATGCCAATGCGCGCTCACGTTGCCTCATTCTGACAGCTGAATAAAATCCCACAATATCTGCTTTGAACTGGGATATAGGGCAGTGTGGACTCAGATAACCCCAGTTCACAGCAGATATTGTGGGATTTTCTGCCTTGATATCCTGCGTGGAAGGGCTCCCAGGTGATCTTCTTTTTTTTTTAACCTGAAAGAACAAGGATAGTGAAAACTGGAAATCCCAGAGTGGTTTGGGTTTGTTTGGTTTTTGAAGAAATTTAGTATCTTCCCCACAGTGTATAAAATGGCTGATGATAGTTTGATGTTTAGGAAAACTGGATTGTACTTTATAGCATCTTGATTCTGCCACAGATAAGAGTTTCTGGTTTGTATTGTCGAAGGTCTTCATGGCCGGAATCACTGGGTTGTAGGTTTTTTCGGGCTATATGGCCATGTTCTAGAGGCAGGCATGTAGCCGGGGGCATGTAGCTTCACCCCCCCCCCCCCCAAATTCTCATGGTGGTCTGCGAAAAGGCCTTACTGGTACATTATTTAAACTGTTATGTTTATTCATATCATGATCTGATCACCATGCTCAATATATCTCATATGCATGGGGGTATTGGGGTAACGATACAAAAGGTTTGCTAGGGTAGACCCTCTTTCACTCAGACTCAGCCCCCCCCCCCGAATCAAACTCAGCTCCCCCCGAATCAAAATCCTGGCTACGGGCCTGTCCTTGCCCTTAGCATGCCTGCATCTATGGCAGCATCCTCCCTACCTCTGAGGATGCTTGCCATAGATGCAGGCGAAACGTCAGGAGAGAATGCCTCTAGAACATGGCCATATAGCCCGAAAAAACCTATAACAGCCCAATTTCTGGTTTTCCTCCAGATCAGTTCAACAGTTTAGCAGGTATGGGCAAAATTGGCCCTTCCAGGTGTTTTGGACTTCCAACTCCCATAATTCTTAACAGCCTCAGGCTCTTTGTTTTCCCCCCTCAACTGCTTAAGCAACATAGGCCTTCTTTTCTAAATCTAATCTATTTTATTTTTTTCAGGGCAATTATATAAAATGGATGTGATGAATTCTTTCCAAACCCTGTATCTTGGTCCCACACAGCCCTATATCCCAGTATATCAAGGCAGAAAATCCCAAATTATCTGAGTGTGGACTCAGATAATCCAGTTCAAAGCAGATATTGTGGGTTTTTCTGTCTTGATATTCTGGGATATAGGGCTGTGTGGAAGGGCCCCTGGACAGTAGGGAGAAAATCCCACATTATCTCAGTATGGACTCAGATTACCCAGTTCAGAGCAGATATTGTGAGTTTTTCTGCCTTGATATTCTGGGATATAGGGCTGTATGGAAGGGCCCCTGGACAGTAGGGAGAAATATAATTTCTCAGCTACTGGAATGTAAAATTATTTCACTTCATTTACTGATTTGTTGATTTTTTTTTAAAAAAAAATTACATTTATGACATTCTGCTAAGGGATTCTTTCACCAGACAGAAAACATTCAGGGCCCTTCCACACAGCCCTATATCCCAGAATATCAAGGCAGAAAATCCCACATTATCTGAGTATGGACTCAGATAACCCAGTTCAAAGCAGATATTGTGGGATTTTCTGCCTTGATATTCTGGGACATAGGGCTGTGTGGAAGGGCCCCTGCACAGTAGGGAAACATATAATTTCTTAGCTACTGGAATGTAAAATTATTTCACTTCATTCACTTATTTGTTGATTTTTTAAATTTACACTTGTGACATTCTTCTAAGGGATTCTTTCAGGAGACAGAAAACATTCAGGGCCCTTCCACACAGCCATATAACCCAGAATATCAAGGTAGAATAACCCACAATATCTGCTTTGAACTGGGTTATCTGAGTCTACACTGCTATATATCTCAGTTCAAAGCAGATAGTATGGGATTTTATTCAGCTGTGTGGAAGGGGGCTCAGACTTTATTGTTGTACATGCCAAAATATAATAATGATGATAATAATAATGATAATAATTTATTTGTAGACTGCCCTATCTCCCCAAAGGGATTTAGAGTGGTTTCCAACATGTATGGCAAATGCCAAAAAGGGAATAACATACAAACAAATTACATCAGGAGAGACCACATCAAGCAATGTCAAGCAATATAAAGCAACCTGACTTTAAACTTAATAGACAAAATAACAGACAAAAAAAATACTTAAATGGCCCATACAAACATAACATTTAATATAAATTTAACATAATATAAAAATCTAAGAGGAATAGCTAAAACCATAAAAACGCATTAGAATAAAACAGTGAATAAAGTACACAGTGTGCAGCAGCAGTTAACTTTCAGTATTTTTCAGCACACAAGGCAGTAATTATATTCACTAATTAATGTATAAAACATGTTAGTCAACTTGTCAGATTCAGTTTGTAAAAGCAAAATGTATACTTCCCCATGCCAACTGGTCCCAGGTATGTTTACTCATGTCATTATACCTTTGTACTTATTTTTGAGCAGACATGCTTGCATCATCCCAAATCTTGAATTAGAATATAGCTGTACAAGGACAAACATTTTTATTTTACTCTTACCCATATAACATTCTTTTATTGCAAGAACTATGTTTAATAAATGAGACATTACATTACATAATTACCTTAATATCTAATCATACTTAGCCAAAGTTTCTGCATCCTCTTTGTTTTAGGCCTTGATATATTTTAAACTGAAATGCACATTTGGTAACACAGCAACAATTTGGGTTTCAAAAACCTTTCACATCTGTCAAATGCAGGCATTACAGTGCAACTGAAGCCTTTCAAATGAGATCTCTAATGTCAAGGCACTAAATAATGTTACATTTGATTTGAGAAATGTTCCCACACTTCTAAGACAATCAGACTTTTACTGAACTCCTTTTATATTTCAGCTCACAAGGCTAAAAGAAATAGAAGGAAAAAAGAACAAAAGAAAAACTTAAGTACACTGAAATATTTTGTGTATTGCATGCTTTTGCAGTGTCAAAAACAAAACTAATGACAGATATTTCTAGAATTTGCCTGTAATTTCTTCTTCTACTTTTTAAAAACCAAGTCTACTTCACAAATGTATTTAAAATGTCAATAACTGCTTATATCATGCTTTCATTAGGCATTTTGTTTTGTTCCTCCTTTTTGTTTCCAAATAACTAGATTTAATTACCCTTCAGCTGTACAAGATAATTTTCACTTAGATCTTAACTGTAAGTCCTTCAAAAGTTTATGATGAATATTGCCAAACTTAGTCAAAGCTTTTTGTTTATGATACAAAGTCACACATGTATTAAAATTATGGTGTCTTTTTCAATTATTCTACTGAGATGAGTTTCATCTTGGATTCTATTATTTTATGCCATATTTGTTAAATAAACACAATTTAGTCATTGTTTGTGTGTGCCTTATTATTTACATCTTGCATTGCAAAAAATTAGTTCTATAGCAACTAGAAAACAGAAATTTCTTTAACATTAATTTTGCTGATTTACAAAAATCAAAAGAAACTTGGTCTGATTTGGGAGGATTTTTCTCATCACATGTTTTCAGAGAAAGCATAATTGGAGAGCATGGATCATTTGAAAGAAAAATATAGGTTTGCTCATAAAATTATTTTGTTACAATAATGTTTAAAATATATCATTAATAGTTTTTAAAATCATCCTAATAATGCTAAAAACATAAAGAGAAAAATTCTGAGATTCTCAACTTGTATGTATCTATGCTGTAATAATTTTGTTAAAATTGTGTTTTAACCCATTTCAGGAAATTCAGCAGTGTGTACAGCTAAAAAAAATTAAACATGTACTTTAAGAGGGGAAAGATCCAGATTTAAAAATTGGATCTGTATTAAGTTTATTGTAACACAATTCAGTATATTTTCAAAAGGTTCATAATTTACTTTGTTATTTTATTGAATTCACTCGTTTTTATAAAAACCATGCTGTCTTTGAAAACTTTTCACACTATTCTTTTTTCCCATTAATAAACAACCAAATTGAATATTTTGTTGTTCTCCTAAAAAAGTTGTTAATTTTATCTTAAAAATTAACATACAATCTAATCTGTGTGGCAATTTGTTGTCAAAAGCTTTCATGGGCAGAATCACTGGGTTGCTGTGAGTTTTCCCGGCTGTACCTTTCACCCACATCTATGGCAGGCATCCTCAGACCTCTGAGGATGGAGAGAATGCTTCTGGAACATGGCCATACAGCCAGGAAAACTCACAGCAACCCTGTGTGCTAATTCCTACCTGATCCACTGATTTAAATATAGTTGAGATATGATTAGAATGTTTGGATGTTAAACCCAAACACCTAGTTATTTCAGATTGATTCATCCAAAACTGTTTAAATTTGTTTGTTTTTTTTTAAAAAAAATAATAAGTAGCAGTCAGTCCTTGCAGCATAAAAAGGAGGGAGAAAGAAGGGAAGTAGGAGCATCTTTAACACAAAATGGTTTTTATTTTAAGCTGAGATATCACTCTGAACTGCCCCTGAAAAAGTGAGTTTATATCAAGGAAAACTAATTCTGAAAAGGGCCCGTTAGCCTGAAAGCTTCTTTCTTTTCTTTCTTTCTTTCTTTCTTTCTTTCTTTCTTTCTTTCTTTCTTTCTTTCTTTCTTTCTTTCTTTCTTTCTTTCTTTCCTTCCTTCCTTCCTTCCTTCCTTCCTTCCTTCCTTCCTTCCTTCCTTCCTTCCTTCTCTTCTTTCCTTTCCTCCTCCCTTCCCTCCTTTCCTTTCCCCTTCCTTTGTTCCTTCCTTCTTTCCTCCCTCCCTTCCCTTCTTTCCCTTCCCTTCCCTCCCTCCCTTCCCTTCTTTCCTTTCCTTTCCGTTTCCTTCCTTTCCTTTCCCTTCCCTTCCTTCCCTTCTTTCTTTTCCTTTCTCTTCAGTTTCCTTCCTTCCTTCCTTCCTTCCTTCCTTCCTTCCTTCCTTCCTTCCTTCCTTCCTTCCTTCCTCCTTTCCTTTCCTTTCCTTTCCTTTCCTTTCCTTTCCTTTCTCCCCTTCCCTCCTTTCCTTTCCCTTCCTTCCCCTTTCCTCCCTTTCTCTTTCTTTCTTTCCTTCCACTTCTGAGTTGACTATGGGATATCATTTAATCGTCTTAATGCATCAACTGAAGAAGGACTTCCAAAATTCAGAATGTTTACATATCTTTTGCCCTGATATTGCCTCCTTCCCCATCTCTCTCACACACATACCCCATTTCTATGCTTCTAAAGCAAGAAGGAGATGGTTATACAGCCATACCTGAAGCCTGGTCTCCTGTGTCGGAATAAAAAACGGAGAAAACAATGGGGAAAGTGGGGTGTTTGTGTGGTTTCCTCTCCTAACTTTTCGCCTGCATCTGTGGCTGGCACCTTCAGAAGAAAAAGTCTTTTTCAGCAGGTTAACTTCAGCGTTCAGAGTGTTCTTGTTGCTGTTGTGTGCCTTCAAGTCGTTTCCGACTTCTGCCTGGGGGTTTCTTGGCAAGATATGTTCAGAGAGAGGTTGCCTTCGCCTTTGAGGGTGAGCGGATGTGATTTGCCCAAGATCAGACATTGGGCTCCCATGGCTGAGTCGGGTTGAAGCCCTGGTCTCTAGAGTCACATCATAAGAGTCCAAAGGTGGGCAGGCAGAGAAACCCCGTTTCAAGCAGGGCTTAGGTCAAGGAGCACCCCATGCTTCCTTTTCTCCCACGTCGCTGGTTTGTGTTGCCGCCTTGCCTCCGAGTAACCAGATGGGAAGTAGGGAGCTTGTACTGGGAGCCTTGGGATTGCCTTCTGGGTCCGAATCCCGCTTTACCGCGTTGTCGCAAGCTCCCCTCGAGCCCGACTCTGCCTTTCCCACGCGTGACCAAACCCGCGCCGCCCCCCGCGACTCCTGCCTAGCCTCCTTGGTCCCCAGCCCCGTTCATCTCCCCTTCCTCGCCTGATCCCGCGAGGGAGACATAGTTTCCGAAGGGGCACAGCCTGCAAAGGCGCCTCTTTCTATGCCCAGCCCCGCTGCCCTCGCAAATCCGATAATTCGGGTTTTGCGACTTCCCGGGATCCATCTACACTAGGATGTGGTTTGACATTACTTCTCAACGCCTTCCTCCTCGACCCTGTTAGTCTCTCCTTGTCAATGAAGTGCTACTTGGGTGGTGGATTTGGAGTCCAGTGGAATTAACGCAATTGAGCGATCTTGGATCAATGTTATGGAATCCTGGGAGTTATAGTTTGGTGAGGCACCAGAAGTCTTCCCCAGAGAAGGCTTAATATCTTGTAAAGTGGCATCAATTTGCAGTTATAGGACCTCATCACACTAGAGAATGGATCCACTTTAAACCCGGTTTCTGCCTCCTGCAAAATTCTGGGATTTGTAGTTTAGGGAGGCTGTTAAAGGCTTCTCCCTAAACTACAAACCCCAGAATTCTGCAGGAGGCAGAAACCGGGTTTAAAGTGAATTCATTCTCTAGTGTGATGAAGTCCATAGTTAGGTCAGGCATGGGCAAACTTGGGCCTTCCCTCCAGGTGTTTTGGACTTCAACTCCCACAATTCCTAGCAGCCTGTTGGAGTTGAAGTCCAAAAACACCTGGAGGGAAGGCCCAAGTTTGCCCATGCCTGGTAGACTGACAAAGGGAGGGCCCGACTTTTTTCGGGCGACCCAAATGAGATTCTTATCCCAATTCGCATCTTGGAGAACTTGCGGTGCGCCCTGTTCAGACGTTATTATCATGCGGAATAAGAGGGACATGCATCCAAAGAAGAAAGCCTGGCTTTGCAAGGCTTTCAGCATGGTCGGGGCTCTTGGAGGCTCCCATAAGTCGAAGGACAACAACAAAAGCTCAAGAGAAGCTGCCGGCCTCAAGCAAAGCAGGCTTCAAAGGAAAACCATTGAGAATGAAGGCCTAGAAAGAATGGCAGGGCCGTTGCTGGTGGTAGCAGTCAAGTCCTCCTGATGTCTGAAGGTCTGGGTGGAATAAAATCTCCTTTGGGGTGCTGTGTGGTTTCCTGGTTGTATGGCCATGTTCTAGCTGCATTTTCTCCTGAGATTTCACCTTCATCACCTCTTTTCCTGTCTCTTTGGCCCTTCCACACAGCTGGATAAAATCTCACATTATCTGCTTTGAACTGGAATATATTGTGGGAGTTGGAAGTCCAAAACACTTGGAGGGAAGGCCCAAGTTTGCCCATGCCTGCTCTACACACTGAAGATATAATGCCAGTTTCGAACTGTATCATATAGAAGCTTAGAAAAAATTACTTCATCACACTAGAGAATAAATCCACTTAAAATCTGGTAGTTGTGGACTCAGGGCCCTTCCAGACAGCAAAACTCAGAATATCAAGGCAGAAAATCCCACAATATTTGCTTTGAACTAGGTTATCTGATGGCCACACCATGAAAAGAAAGGAAAGCTTAGAGAAGACAATAATGCTGGGGAAAATGGAAGGAAAAAAGAAGAGGGGCCAACCAAGGGCAAGATGGATTGATAGCATCCTTGAAGTGACTGGCTTCACCTTGAAGGAGTTGGGGGTGGTGACGGTGACAGGGAGCTCTGGCCTGGGCTGGTTTATGAGGTCACAAAGAGTCAGAAATCTTGAGTCCACACTGCTATATATTCCAGTTCAAAGCAGATATTCTGGGATTTTATTTAGATGTGGAAGGGGCATTTAATAACCCAGTTCAAAGCAGATATTGTGGGATTTTCTGCCTTGATATTCTAAGTTATATGACTGTGAAGAAGGGCCCTTTATCCCATCATATGAAGATCTGGTTTTTGCTGCATATGTAAGACATCTGAAACGACTTGAAGGCACAGGACAACAACAAAGGTCTACTACCAATCATGAAGATAGAGTCAACAAACAGGGCTCTTCCACACAGCTATATAACCCAGAATATCAAAGCAGATAATCTACAATATATGGTGTTGGAGGAAAGTTCTGAGAGTGCCTTGGACAGCAAGAAGATCCAACCAGTCCATACTTCAAGAAATAAAGCCTGACTGCTCACTGGAGGGAAGGATATTAGAGGCCAAGATGAAGTACTTTGTCCACATCATGAGAAGACAAGAAAGCTTAGAGAAGACAATGATGCTGGGGGAAAGGGAAGGAAAAAAGGAAGAGGGGCTGACCAAGGGCAAAATGGATGGATGGTATCCTTGAAGTGACTGGCTTGACGCTGAAGGAGCTGGGGGTGGTGATTACCGACAGGGAGCTCTGGCCTAGGCTTGTCCATGAGGTCATAAAGAGTCGGAAGTGATTGAATGAATAAACAACAACAATCTACAATATCCGCTTAGGACTGACTTCTCTGAGTCCACACTGTCATATAATCCAGTTCAATGTGGATTTAATACAGCTGTGTGGGATGGGCCATAGACAAATCCAATTTATTCCAGGGTTCTATACTTCTTTGAACTAACAATGGGGTTTAGGTATGAAATGGGAAATATAATAAAAAAATCACACTGCTTCATTGATCTCTTGGCCTGGTTTGCACAGGGATGTGTTTCTCTTAAATTTACACCCCTATATATGCTTAAATAAAATCAGTTTGGCAAATATATTTGGGAGATATATATATATATATATATATTTGGGGGAGGGATACATTCATGGCATGGCTGTTCTTTTATCTCTTATACTTACCAACAGAGAGGCTCCATTCCCTTTTTCTTCCTCTCTTATACTTACCATCAGATGCTGCATGTAGACTAGACCTAGGAGGAAAGGCATTGGTGTGTTAGAGCAAGTCAAGGGGCAGTCATCTTATTTCTCAAAACCATAATAGAAATGGATTGGAATCATAGAATCATTGGGTTGGAAGAGACCTCGTGAACCATCCAGTCCAACCTCCTGCCAAGAAGCAGGAAAATTGCATTCAAAACTCTCCCGACAGATGGCCATCCAATCTCTGTTTAAAAGCCTCCAAAGAAGGAGCCTCCACCACACACTGGGGCAGAGAGTTCCACTGCTGAACAGCTCTCACAGTCAGGAAGACTGAAAAAAGAGAAATATTGACCTAGTGGAATTGACTGCAGAGAGATGGCAGGAGCATCCCAAGATTATAGGCTGGATCTATATTGCCTTGTAGATCCATAGAATGAAGCTCAAGACAGTTAAAGGGCATTATATAGGTCTTACACTGCATTAAACTCATAACAATGAAGTTCAATGCAGTTGAGATGCATCATAAAGGTTTACACCAGGCATGGGCAAACTTGGGCCCTCCAGGTGTTTTGGACTTCAACTCCCACAATTCCTAACAACCGGTAGGCTGTTAGGAATTGTGGGAGTTGAAGTCCAAAACACCTGGAGGGCCCAAGTTTGCCCATGCCTGGTGTACACACTGAAGATATAATGCCAGTTTCTAACGGTATCATATGGAAGTTTACATCCAGGTAGTCGATCTGACAAGAATTAATAGAGTGCTTAGGATGTTAGTATGATGGTTGTATACTACTGAATAACAATAACCTCTGAGATCGCCAGGAAAACAACAATATTGTCAGTGGCCCATCCAGTATCAATTAGCAGGCGGCTCTTGGAAATGGGATGCGGGGTTGTTGTTGTTTTTTGTGGTGTCAGGAGCGACTTGAGCAACTGCAAGTCGCTTCTGGTGTGAGAGAATTGGCCGTCTGCAAGGACGTTGTCCAGGGGATGTTTTTGATGTTTTACCATCCTTGTGGGAGGCTTCTCTCATGTCCCCGCATGGGGAAGCTGGAGCTGACAGAGGGAGCTCATCCGCGCTCTCCCACTGGAAGCTTTTTTTTTTTGTCCCTTAAAGGGGAGCGGGAAGACATTGACTCAGTCAGTATATAGGCTTATTTCAGGAGCCTTGGGCTGGACAGGCGCGAGCGTCTGTCAAGTCGGAGCAGCTTTCGTGGGACATGGCAGGAGGTCTCCAGCCCAGCCCAGCTCCCCCCTCCCCTCCCCTCCCAAAGTGGCCCAAAATGGGTTGATTTGGGCGCTCGCGGGGGCGGGGAAAGAGAGAGAGGAAGCTACTCCCTTCGAACCCCACCCCCCTCCTTTCTCCCCTGCGCGCGCCTCTTTCTCTCTGAAGGCATCTTTTGGGCGAGGAGCCCGGAGAGCGAGGCGAGCGCGCGCTCCCTGTTCCCCCCCCCCCTCTCCTTTTGGAAAGAGAAGCACCGTCGTTGCCATCGACTGAGGGGAGGAAAAAAAAGAAAGTCCTGCGCGAGCTTGGGTGAGCTTGGCTAATTTGGCGCGCCTGTCTCTCTTTGCCCCCTCCTTGTTTTCCTCTTATTTTATGTGAAGGGAGGGGGGAGGCGGGAGGGGCGCGCGGAGGGGCAGCAGCAGAAGAGAGGCGCGCGAGAGGTGGGTGAGTGGGTGGGGCTTCGTTGGCAGCGAGGGAGGGAGCGCCTCCCTTCTTTTCCCTTCCCTTGGCTGGCCTGAAGGGAGGGAGGGGAGGAGCCTGGCGCGAGGGGGGGGCTGACTGAGAGGGAGCAGCAGCAGCAGAAGGCGGGTGAGTGGGTGGGGCTTCCCTTTTTTCCTTATTTTATGTGAAGGGAGGGGGGAGGGGGGGGGGGGGCTGGCTGAGAGGGAGCAGCAGAAGGCGGGTGAGTGGGTGGGGCTTCCCTTTTTTTTCTTATTTTATGTGTTGGGAGGAGGAGGAGCCTGGCGCGAGGCGGGGGGGGTGCGCGCGGAGGGCCCAGGCTGAGAGGGAGCAGCAGCAGCAGAAGGCGGGTGAGTGGGTGGGGCTTCCCTTTCCCCCCCTTATTTTATGTGAAGGGAGGGGGGAGGAGCCTGGCGCGAGGCGGGAAGGGGGGGGTGCGCGCGGAGGGCCCTGGCTGAGAGGGAGCAGCAGCAGCAGTAGAAGAGAGGTGGGTGAGTGGGTGGGGCTTGGTTGGCGGCGAGGGAGCGCCTCCCTCCTTTTCCCTTCCCTTGGCTGGCCTGGCTTGGCCTGGCCTAGCCTGGCCCACCCGGGGCTCCCTTCCTCCTCCCTTGCCCCTCCCCTCCCCATTACTGTATACAGTCGCGCGCCGCTCCCTCCCTCCCTCCCTCGCTGACACACACACACACTCTCTCTCTCTCCTCTCGCGCTCCCTCCCTGCCATGTTAGCCGCTCTCTCTCTTTCTGTCTCATCCCCAGATCTCGCGAGAGCGGCCGGCTGCTGGTGGTGGCTGTGGAGGGGGTTGGCGCGGCGGCGGCGGCGGCAGGAGCGGGAGTGGGAGCAGTAGCGGCGGCGGGAGGAGGAGGAGGAGGCGGCGGAGGCGGCGGCGGCGGAGGCCGGGGGGCGCAGGCAGGCGGCGGCGGCGGGCGTCAGGAGGCCCGGCGGCAACATGGCGGACAGAGACAGCGGCAGCGAGCAGGGTGGCGGCGGCGGCGGCGGTGGCGGGGCGCCGGGCTCGGGCCCGGGCGGAGGCGGCGGCGGCGGGGGTCCCGGCGTGGGCCTGCAGCACGAGACGCAGGAGCTGGCCTCCAAGCGGGTGGACATCCAGAACAAGCGCTTCTACCTGGACGTGAAGCAGAACGCCAAGGGCCGCTTCCTGAAGATCGCGGAGGTGGGCGCGGGCGGGAGCAAGAGCCGGCTGACGCTCTCCATGTCGGTGGCCGTGGAGTTCCGCGACTACCTGGGCGACTTCATCGAGCACTACGCGCAGCTGGGGCCCAGCCAGCCCCCGGAGCTGGCGCAGGCCGCGGACGAGCCCCGGCGGGCCCTCAAGAGCGAGTTCCTGGTCCGCGAGAACCGCAAGTACTACATGGATCTGAAGGAGAACCAGCGCGGGCGGTTCCTCCGCATCCGGCAGACGGTGAACCGCGGGCCGGGCCTGGGCTCCACGCAGGGCCAGACCATCGCGCTCCCGGCCCAGGGCCTCATCGAGTTCCGCGACGCGCTGGCCAAGCTCATCGACGACTACGGCGTGGAGGAGGAGCCCGCCGAGCTGCCCGAGGGCACCTCCTTGACGGTGGACAACAAGCGCTTCTTCTTCGACGTGGGCTCCAACAAGTACGGCGTCTTCATGCGCGTCAGCGAGGTCAAGCCCACCTACCGCAACTCCATCACCGTCCCCTACAAGGTCTGGGCCAAGTTCGGGCACACCTTCTGCAAGTACTCGGACGAGATGAAGAAGATCCAGGAGAAGCAGAGGGACAAGCGGGCCGCCCAAGCCGCCGCCTCCTCGTCGTCCTCCGGGGGAGCCGAGCCGCAGGCCGAGGCGGAGAGCAGCGTTAGCCCCGCCTCCTCCTCCGCCGCCGCCGCCGCCGCCGCCACAGGCCCGCCGGGAGCCCTGCTGCAGGCCGAGGAGCCCGAGGAGGATTGATCTCCCTTCCAAGCCCTCCCTTCCAAGCCCCCTTCCATCCTCCCTCTCCCTCCAAGCCTTCCTCCTCTTCTCCACTTGGCTGCCTCCTCCCTGCCCTGCTGCACAGAGACACTCGTAATAATAATAATAACAACAACACCAACAACAACAACAACACAGAGAGAGACTTTATACTGTAAGCGAGAGAAAGAGAGAGAGAGAGAGAGAACCCACACCCTGGAAACAGTCCCTGCAGTTCCAATATTACTTACTATACCTGTTGTTCTGACTCCAAGGGGAGCACCTGCACCACCACTCACCTTCCAACCAACTCAACCAACTCAACCGGAAACAAGACAGACCACCAAGCAACTTCTTTCTTCTCTCCACCCCATCGCTGGATTGTTCCTTCCACTCTTGCCCATCGTATAAAACAGTAAGCAGCTGCTAAACAAAAACAAAACAAAAAAAACCAACAAAAAAACAAAATATACAAAAAAAAATTACAAAAAAAGTAATAACATTATATATGATGAACTGTGTTTTCCTACTTGATTAAAAATATAAAGAACTGAGTGTTTATTTCCCTAATTAACCAAGAACTTTTGTACACGTTAAGCTATTATTATTATTATTATTATTATTAAAAATGGTCAAGATTAAAATATTGCTGAATTATATTAAAAAGAGAGAGAGAGAAAGAGAGAGAGAGGAAATGTCCTTTTCGTGTTGAGCTAACATTTGACTTTAGCACAAAAAATAAAAAATAAAGAGATATTTTAGAACACTAAAAAAAATAATAATATTTTTAGTTTTTTTTCCTCTCGTTTTGTTACCAAATTTCCAAACCTTTCGTGGAGGTTTATTATAGTATATTTGACACCCTATATACCTGTGATTAGAGATGTGTATATATATACATACATATATATATATACAGTATATATATATGAGGGCTAGGCATGCTGTGTGTCTGAGCTTTGTCTAAATGTTATGCAGAAGTCTGTAGAGTTCAAAGGTACGTAGGTTTAATTCATGCAAGGTAAACAATAAGTGCTCTCTTTTATACAATATGCATTGCATCTGGACCTTAAACATATAAAATGGTCAGTGAAACTTCTGTGAACATGAAGAAAAATTATTAAAAAGGCATTTAAATGAAATTTGCTAACTTGTGATTTTTATGGTTTGAACCAAAGTTATTCAAATAGTAAAAGAGAGAAAGAGAGAGAGAGAGAGGGAAATGATCTCCCATATTTTTCTGCACCTGTTTGGTTTACAACTAAGTAGATATATTGTCATTTTTGTGTATATGAGATGTACTTGTATTGTTCATAATATATATTTTTATGATGTGTACTTAAAAGTACTTTAATGTGCAGCAATTTCCAGTAAACCTGTTTTGGAATAACAGGTGGTGAGGGTCTTTTGTGTGTGGCCACTAGCACTGCCCCTTAAATGTGTTTTAAGTTTGATTCAAAAGTCCCGTTTGTGCTAGTGCTAACTTGCGTAGGCCTGTCATAGAAGTCGGTGCAACATGATTCTAGTGTAATCCTACTGAGCCATGGATTTTGAGTCTCCTTTAAAAGTAAAAGCCAAGTTGGTGTGTTGTAAAGAAATTTCCATGTAGCTGTGGTGCTAGTTATATCTGGCTACATACTTTATATATGTAGTAGCGACCCCTCCCAAGTGTGCAAACCTTCAGTTCAAAGTATGTAATTTATGTGATATATTCAATCTGTAGGGTATGAAAACATCAGAACACTAATCTGTCAAGTGGTGTTCTCCAAATTTCAGTTGTTTGTAGTACTATACTTTCAAGAATTTTTCCTTTGAAAACGTTTTGTGTGCTTTTAATTGACTAACTTCTTGCTGCTGTATAGTAAAAAATATTAATATATTTTTATCATTAAACTGCTGCATGACTATCATCATTGCAAGTGAAAATAATATGTTATAAATGATGCCTTAAAACACTAGGAAAATTAGTTGGGAGTTCTGTAGAAAAAGTTGACAAAATAAGAATCTGATTCTTGCGTTTTGAAGTGTACTCTTAACATCCTTGACAATGTAGATTTAACTGCTGTATGTTGAAGATGCCACCTGTAGGAACAGACATTTTCTATGCTTCTCTTTGATTGTAAGAGGTTGGGTCTAGGAAAGACAAAGATTGTTCAAAAGAAATTATCTTCTGTTTTCATTAAAAGCATAATTCCCCCTCTTTTTTGAATATGTACTGTAAATGTCAATATAAATTCTGTTTCTCTTGTATCACCCATTTCCCGTTAAGTAAGTTGGCTGCTGGTGTCCGTTGAGCACCAAATGTGCAATAATGTTGTAGTTGTTAGTCATTTTTTTGTTCTAAAATCACTGGAATTTATGACATTATTTTCTAAGATGCACTTTCCAACATATATATAAAAAAAGCTTCCATAGTGCATAATGTGATAACTGAAATGCTTTTTGACCACATGCAAATGTTTAGAGGTATGCCCACTTTGTTTTAATTGAAGGGCTTGTTGTGCAGTTTCATACTGTATTTCAGTGGTTCTCAACTTGTGGTTCTCCAAGTGTTTTAGCCTACAACTCCCAGAAATCCCGGCCAGTCTACCAGCTGTTAGGATTTCTGGAAGTTGAAGGCCAAAACATCTGGGGACCCTCAGGTTGAGAACCACTGCTGTGTTTGATCTGTGACGTGGAAAGGACTGGATTCTCCATGCTACACATAGGGAAGTTTTGATTTGGCTGCTTGGTTGACTTGGTTCTACTGTTCATTATAGTTTTAAAAGTTGTGGTAATGTCAATGGACAGATGTTTTGGTTTTTTTTAGCAATAACTTTCACGAGTCAACGTATGAGTGAAGTGTCCTTTTGTTCTCTTTGAATTGTAATTTAAACTTTATTAAAGAGCAACATTCATGCCCAGTTGTAGGAAGGACACAGGCAATCCTTTTAAAGAGATGCTGAAAGATCTGAGAGTGGCTTCACCTTCTCCTGATGGGAATGCACATTATGTTTGTCCCACTGTTGTCTTTGGCTGAACTGCACGTTTTGCAGGTTTCATCAGAGGCAAACGTAGAGGAGTGTGCACACAACAAGCCGTGGCACCACTTTCATATCACCTTTGACTCTCTGAAAAGCTATTTTCTGATCCCACACCATATTTTGATTGGTTTTGACACAAAGTCAATAAAATTGGCATTTTGTAAAACCCACTAAAGCAATGGTTCTCAATCTGTGGGTCCCCAGGTGTTTTGGCCTACAACTCCCAGAAATCCCAGCCAGTTTACCAGCTGTTAGGATTTCTGGGAGTTGAAGGCCAGAACATTTGGGGACCCACAAGTTAAGAACCACTGCAAGGGAATTTGTCTTGACCCAGACATCTCCCACTTTGATTTCAGTGGGTCCATATGATCCATAGGGCATGTAGTTCTCCTTGGATCATTACAACTTATTACAGTTCTAGCAAAATTCCGAAGTTGAGAATATCTAAATTTATGGATACATGGCAGATATTCTAGAACTGATCAGTGGTAATGATAAGTCTTTGTGCTGATGATAAATGACCTTGTGTTGGATATCACTTTTTCCCATTTAGGTGCTCAGTATTTCACCCAGTTTTTATATCTCACTGCTAAAATAGAGTAGTGAGGGAATCTTATTGTAAGGCCAGGAGAATAAAATGGTGTATTTGACCTTATTTGGTGTTCTGAAACAGCATGCTCAAATGTGCCAAGCAATCCACCTTTTCGAAAACATGCCTTATTTTCCTTAATGTGTTTTCATTGTCTTGATTCGAGTTATAATGCTACTTTATATGAACTGCAAGAAAACTTGAAATCCACTGCAATACAAACATGGCCTGTTTTGTTTTTGTTTTATAAGTGAAAAGGACACTGTCAAGTAACTTTCATTTAAAAACGTGACCTCCCTTTTGGGTTATTCCAGCATGGCAAATGTCCTTAGTAAGTCCCACTTGTTTTTTTGGTTTTTTTTTTTTTTTTTTTTTTACAAAAATTGCTCTGTCTGAGAAATTGAATAAACAAGCTAAAAAATTAGACACTCTTGATTCATGCCTCTTTATTGTTTTATGCTGTAAAGTGCAGTTTTCAGCCAGAGGGGGAGCTAAAGTAACTAAAAAACAATCTGAATATTGCTGAAGTTGTAGAATTTGACTATGTGCCAGAAGAAAATTAGCAGGACGAAGTGAAAAGAGGGAATCCAACATTTACCAAACAAATCATCCAGGGTGGAGGAAAGGGATATTTTCAAGTCAAGTCAATGGGCAAGCCTTGTCCATAAGTGGTAGAGAACTTGTCAAAATGTAAATATTTAACCCTAAAATACTTGACAGTGTCACTTTTTAAAAGTATCCCTTGCAAAGGTTGCAGTATGCTCTATTGTAGCTGTCCTTGAAAAGTACTCCGAAACAGAACCACACATACACAAAACTTTGTAAAATGTAGTCTTATCTGTCTACTGTGCAGGCAAAGAACTACCATACCAGGCATAAAGAAAACACGAGTGCCTATAGTAGGCCAGTAACTTTGTTTGAGAACAATTTATTTTTGTTTAATTTTTGAAATAGTATTATAGCAATTGCTTTAATCAGCCATGTCCCATTTAAACTATGCAGATTATTGTATATATTGTGGTCAGTAAAAAAAAAGATGGCATTTGTACACTAATGAGTATTATCTTTATAGCTATTAGTGTGATTTTTTAAATACTGACAGCAAAGTATAACAAATTTACATATTTTGATTGGATCAACATTATACATCCTGATGTCTGGTAGTTTGAAAAGAGTAAAATATCTTCCTGCATGGGGAATATGATATTTTATTACTGTTTTCCATTGAAATACTATTTTGTCAGTTTTTATTTAACTTGTAAATCAGTTATTACTTTGTACTGGCATAAATAGGATATGGATATATCTTTTTAAAGCCAACTGATCAAATACCTTTGTAATAAAAATCAATGGATCTGTTTCGATTGTACTCACTGTTGTCATTTCTTGTATGGCATATAATGTATGTTTTAATACTGTGATGTTATATGTCTATGGTTCCTGAGTAATTGTAAACAAATAATGGGAGGGATAGTAGGTTGCAAATGTGAGTATTACATTTACAAACTAAGAATTTTTGGAGTATCGTGGCCTACATCTATATTGACATCTTAAGTTGATGTAGAGCAGGATCAACTCCATGACCACCAAATGCCACATGAAGTTGATCCATGGTAACACGAAATAGGCCACTAACACAGCCACATCCCACATTAGCCAAAGTCAAAGAAAAGTCCAATTTCTGGCACAGGCTTCAGACTATCCCCCAATTTTGGGCTTGTTGGAACAGTTGGGCCGATTTCAGAACAAAACTGGCTACAACTGTCCCCACTTCCACCCTGTGTTTCCTGGGCTTGGGTGACC